CCTGTTATATATGCAAACTTTTATCCTTAGACCTTCCACTTCAAATTGTGCTGGATGTTTTATCTTTTCTAGGAAATAACCTCCAGTTTTGGCTAGGTCAGGAGAGAGACAGTTGCTTGCTGCCAAATAGACAAAACATATTATTTTCAGTCAAACTTCATCTCTCCTTCCAGAAGGCCTCAGTGATACCAACTCCTGAGCTTTGCTGTTTCAGAGGGTGGCGTGGGGAGGGGGACAGGTTGCTTTCTCATACCTCCACTGCTTTCTTGAGATTGTAGATCAACTTTTCTGCTCTGCTAAATCAGTTACCACTTCCCTGCCTGCTTTTCACCTTCCAAGAGTTTGTTGCTACGATTTCCCTTCAGTTTTCCCTGTCTTTGTGGCTTCTTTTCTTCCACTTTCCCACTTTATTATTGTATGATTTTTGATTTCAGGAGGAAATAGGAGTACATGTGTATGGTCAATCAACTTTTCCTTGCCATGGTGCTGGATTGTGCATATTATACATTTATAACAGGTTTGTGCTGGCATAGAAGTATTGGGTATATGTTAGTACCATGGTTTGCATCTTGATTATCCACAAAGGCCCATGTGTTAGATGCTTGGTGTCTGGGGAGTCACTATCTGGAGGTGGTAGAACTCAAATGGGTGGGGTCTACTGGAATTCTTTAGGTAAATGAGGGTTTGATCTTGAAAGGGAGTGTGAGACCCTGGCTTCCTCTCTCTTTTTTGTTCCCTGGCCATGAAGTGAGTGGCTTTGTTCCACCATGCTCTCCCACCATGCTGTAAACCTCACCCAGAACAATAGGAGAAATAAACCATGGGCTGAAATCTCCAAAACTACAGGAAAAACCCCATTTCTCTTTATAAGTTAATTATCTCAGGTATTTTGTTACAGCAAAAGAAAGTTCACTAACATAGTAAGTATGACGTGGGAGTTAAGATCAGTAGTTTTGGAGGAGGGAAGACTGCGTTTAATTAAAGGCTTTGATAGGACTTGAAGCAAGTTACTCTAATGAGCTTTGGTTTCTTCATCTATTGATGGTAGAAAATACATTTAATCCATAAAATGATTAGAATAATTACCTTAAACAATATGATGGATAAAAGTATTTGACGTACCGTGTACTTTCATTTTGGAGCAGAATTATGGATAAACCAAGATTGAGTTATACAGGTAGTATTTTGACTAGGTACTCACTGAAATATTCGTAGGATGAATGAATGTCATCTCTTAATAAAGTATTTAGAAAACAACATAGAATATACAGATTAAATGCTTCAAGAGTCTTAAAACAGGCAAAACACTAAAAGTGATCTTTTGGAATTAGAATATTTTTTCCTGTCCCCTCATTTTCATTACTTTTCACCTAAGACTGTACTTCCTTTCAGTAACACAAACTGTTAACTAATTCCATTTCCCTCAAAAAAATTAAGGATGTGAGATTCTAAACAAAGAAATAAGGAACAGCTTTACCAGTAATTTTCTAGAATTTAGACTAGCTTTTAATAATATTTCTTATTTCCTCTCCCTCAGCCCCTTTCCCTCGGATTAATTTTCTGTGCTATAAAGTGATCTTAAAACAAAAATACATACCAGAGCAAATCACTGCCTCATTGGCTTCCCATTTTTCTTGGAATAAAAACAAAACTATTTGAAAGAAACTTCAAGTCCTTGCAAAGCTCCAACCTCATCTCCATCCCCATTTTGTGCCACTCATCCTTTCTTCTCCTAGAGTTCAGGCATACTGGTTCCTGCCATTATTAGAATTTTCCAAGTTCTGTTCTCCCTCAGTGACAACTCTTCTTTCTCTCTCTGCTTGCAATCTGTCCACATTTGCCAGTTTAACTGTATTAACCTGAAAGTCTGTCTAAAAATCCCCTCTGCTGAGAACCCTACTGTGACCTCGAAAACCAGTCAAGTATCCCTACTGATCACTTTTGCTGGGGACCTGGCACCTCTCATTTGTAACCCTTATCCCAATTGATTTTAGTAATTGTGTAATTAATTGTTAAGTTCTGTTTCCACTTCTCATTGTAAGCTCTGTGGGGCAGGGATGACATCTCTTTTCTTTACTGCATTAGTCACAATGCCTTTAAAATGTCTTGTACATAGTTTCCTCTCAATACATACCTATTGAATAAGTGGATTAATTACTGACTATTAGGAATAAAACAGACTGAAACTTTAAAATGTAACTTTAAGGGTTTTGCTTTTGTTTTCAAATTCTTCTACTGTGTGAGGTAAGATGTCTCCTATGAGCCCAGTGGCTTGATAAGTGCTTATTTTGACTCTGTCCTTAGAGCCAAGAGAACTGCTAAAAAGGAGAGAGACTCTAAGTAGAAGAGGAAGTATGGAGATTATCTGCTTCCTAAGCAATGTACTGGGTCATGCATGTCAAGGAGAGAAGGTAGCTGCACTGACAGTAATATACCTTTAATCAGACCACGTATCACTTGCTCCCAACAATGCTGGCACAAACTAGATGGTCAATCAGTGCTGTTGAATTAGTGAATAAAAGTGATGGTCTTACTTTACCATATACCCTCCAAACTGCAAGTGATTTCCTTTGTGATTAAAGTAATGTTACCATTCAAGATCCATTTGTATGTTTTTAGCTGTATGTCTTGACTGGAGCCCAGGAGAGAGTCAAAATATTATTTGTCTAGGTTTTGATCAAGTCATACTATTTTAAGAATAACTATTTTAAACCTAGTTCTAACTTATAAGTATTCCATTGCACATTCACAATGATTTCAAAGTCACTAGGAATTTCATTGCTTAAATACAATATAATTGGTGGAAAAGGAGCTTATTCTGAGAAAGAATGAAGAACTGAACTATGTTGTTGAGCATTTTGTTGTTGTTGTTGTTTTGCTGGAGTTCACTTGTCTCCCAGGACAGGGGAAGCACTTGCATAAGAACTGAATAGTTTATCACTAAGATGGATAAAGTACCCAAGTTCGCATGGATCCAAGAGACTACAAAGTTGGTCTGGCGGAGTTTATGACACTTTTATAGGATAAGATTTTAAGGAAATGGGAGCCACGTTTTGGCATATAAAAGTACTATTTGATACTGTTAGTTTCTTGAAATTTCTTAGCTAAAGCTTTATTTATTAGATTCAAGGAGGCAAATTAACTCAGTGTATGCCAAGACAATATATCAGTAATGGCTGCTATAATGAGAAAAGTTCTGAGGCTTTGCTTGGACTCTTTGGAATGTGTTGTCATCAGTTAGTAATGTCAGCTATGAGTTTTAGAATTGGTATTGGCTGGTGGGGGGGGCTCAAGCAGTAGAGCACCTGTCTAGCAGGTGTGAAGTTCTGAATTCAAACCCCAGTACCATCCCCCACCAAAAGTAAATAGACTTGGTATTGATGGTATGCCAAATATTTAATATTTTTTCTTTAAGGCTTTACTTTGTCATGCTAAGATCTAAGTATATCTAAAAATCTCATTTACTCTTCACATAAATGCTGTAAGTACTGGTTCTAATCTTTGTTTTTCTTCAGATGAGGAAGCCAAGTACAAACATACTAAGTTTCCCAAAATATATAGCCAATTTAACATTTGAATATGTTCCTAACTCCAGAGCCTGAGTTTTGTTTTTGGTGTTTTTTGGTGGAATTTAAGGCTTTCCATTTCCTAGGCTTTCCATTTCCTAGGCTTTACTGCTTGAGTAGAGCTTGAGTAGGGCCTTCAGCCCTTTCTGCTTTGCTTATTTTGGAGATAGGTCTTGCTTTTTCCCAGGCCAACCTGGATTCTGGTTCTCCTATTTTATGCTTCCCACAGTAGGTGGGATGACAGGTGTGTACCATGTTCAGCTTTTTTCTACTAAGATGAGGTCTCCCATACTTTTTTGCCCAGGCTGCCCTGCAACCACAATCCTCCTGATCTCAGTTTCCTGTATATTTTGGGATGACAGGCATGCACCACCATGCCCAGCTATTGGTTGAGATGGGGGGCTTGCTAACTTTTGCCTTTGCTGGCCTCAAACCATAATCTTTCTGATCTCAGCCTCCCAAGTAGCTAGGATTACAGGTGTAGCCACCAGGTGCAAGTATTTGGGAGTGTTCATATTTGAAACTGGTTATCATTCATGTATACCCTAGAATGAATGAGTTTATCTTCATTGTCTTACTTTGCCTGAGAAATATTTTAAAAAGTAATAAGGCTTGCAGGACTTGATGTACTTTATCACACTGTGTAAGACTGATCCTTAATCTGAATACTGAAAATAGTTTACTATATGATTACTCTAGTGTAGGAAATATGAATTTGTTTTAGACCATTTTAAGGATGATGTACAGTGTATCTATACCATTTCTGTTTTCTCATTGCCTTTCTCTCTCTCTTTCCCTCCGTCCTTCCCTTCCTTCCTTCCTTTTTTTGAACAGGGTCTTGCTATATAACCCAGGCTGGCCTTGAACTCATGATCCTGCTGTCTCAGCATCTGGAGTGCTGGGATTATAGACATGTATCACTATGCCCAGATATCTATACCTTATGATTCAACTCAAGTAAAAGTTGGATCCCAGATGATATATTTTTAACCCACTGAAACTTTTTCTTCTTAATGATGGTAGTCACTATGTACTAATGAGATTCTAAATATAAATATATTTTATATTCCTTAAAGTTTTAAAGCTTGTTCTCTTAAAAAAAAAAAAACTTTCTTTGGTTCTGGGGTTCCATCCAAGAGCCTTGTGCATGCTAGGCAAGTCTTCTATCACTGAGATATATCTCCAGCTCAAGCATGTTCTTTGTAATGGAATTATCTTTCAATGCATGAAAACATACTACTCTCACTTTCTCTAAGTATTATTTCTGTAATTAACTGTTAAATTATTTATAAATATTTATAATATCCATGCAAAACAGTTTGGATTTTTCTCAAAGGAAAATACAAAACCAAATTAAAACCTCTCTTCAAACATTTTTAGGTGGTGTTAGAAATGTCAGTATATGATTTGATTTCTTGCCTATTCATTTTACAGAAAAATCTGTCATTGCTCAACCAATATTTATTTTTGAAAAGAGAGAACAAACTTTTAAGGTAAGATCAAACTACTTTTATTTGATTTTACTTTGACAAAGAAAATTTTATTTCAAAGAAGCTAGCTATACCAAGATGTGATGGGTACATAGGTTTATCTTGTTCTTCACTAGAAGAGTAGGTCTCCGGATTATTCATGTAGTAGAGATTTATAGACATCAATTTGGCTGAAATGGGAACCCAAGACCTTACCTTGAAGCAATGACTAACATGCTGCTTTTACCAAGATAATTTGCTTATTTGGAGTGACTTGAAAAAGGAAAGACTGAAAGAGATTAGGGAGGCTAAGTCTCCTCATAGGTCCCCACACCTGATCTAGCCTAAAAATAGATGCTAAATGGCAATGTTTGTGTAAAAGGGACATGTAGACTCTACGCAGTTTTTGAGCATCACCCTGAAACCAAGCGCTGTGAAATACAAACAATAAGACTGCTGTCATTCGCACTTTGGCTTGTCTTTCATTCTTACTATGCAGGTCCTTTACTCCACCATGCACAAAACAAACTAAAGAAAAACTCAAACTCCAAGCCTTTTCTTTTGTTTGTTTGTTTAAAGTAGATTTTTACTCTAGATCAACAATTGCAAAACCTTGAGAATGTGCCTCAGAACTCTGCATTTTAAGCAAACTTCCACAAGCAAGTCTCTAGTCATTGAGATAAAAACGCTGCTGGGCTAAACTTGAATCTATCTTGACTACATGCCGATGAGTTGTTTTGTCCAGGCTGGGCCAACAAGCCCTGGCTTCTAAGAGGTTTCTTATACAGTGGTAGGGTGACAATTTGATGCAAAAACAGCAAATACTCTGTTCTCACTGGCAGCTTTGTGTTCTTTCAGAGACCTGCAGATGATACCTTGTGTGAAGCAGCAGAACATGGTAATGACTCCCATTCTGTATTTCTTTCTACAAAGAAAACAAGCAGGCACAAGCATTTTGGCATGTGGCACAACTCTGTAAAAGTTAATGTTTTTTCTTGTTTTTAAACATACATGTAGACGGGCCTTTGTTTTGAAAGGCGACATGCAGATCTCTGAAAATACTGATATGAGCAAGACTGATGTGTGCAATCACAGAGTTTGTGGTTCTAACCCCTGACTGTAGCCTTCCCCAAACATTCTCTGTAGAACCTCAAAATGCCTGTACAATTTCCTGAGGAAGTCTCTCATTTCTAATTGCTTCATACCAATATGATGTGTCTATAGTTTTATAATCCCCAACCTATGAACTACAATATTGAAAACCGGGCTCAGGAGTTAACATGTTGTCAAATGATCTATGTAGGTAAAATAAAATTGTTTATTTTCCCATAGCACAGTTGAGGATACATTGTTATTGCAAGCAATTTTACCCTTCCCACTGAATTTCTTGCAGAATGTAATGGTTTATCAAGAAAGCGTGCACGGTCTTCATCCTTTACTCTGCATACTATAGATTTTCAGTCTCAGGGAGGTAAGTATAGCCTTGACTACTGACTACTCACTGTTAGATTATTCTGATTATGAAATTACTAAGAAACTTTCAAATTGGCCATTTAAAACATAACTATCTATGCCTACGATTTAAGAAGAGCTGTGTCATACACTATATTCTGAGTCAACAAATAACTTAGTTTGCCTCTCTTTTACATCAAAGCACTCCAGTGATTCCCTTCATAATGGGTCTTTATTGTTAACTTATATATACACCTGAGCCCTTCATTATGGTTCATTGATATCATCATGACTGATAGAGTGTCTGACACATGGTCAGCACTCAAGAATAATTTCATTGAATGGAAAGGAAATTTATAATTCTCACTAGAGAGCCACACTATTTCTTTTACTTAATAAAAAGACATAGATTTTTCTAAATTAGTGATCTAAAATGTTTTCCAAAATAGCAAAAATCCAAAGCAAACAAACATAATCCCCACTCCCTTATTGATTTGAGTTTGCAATCTGCTTTTAGTGTCAACTTTGTCTCAGAAGCGCCTGAGATCTTCATCCTTCACTGACTTCCCAACCTTCCCCCCTTCTGAGCCAGGTAATGAAGAGCTTCTAGAACCTCAAGCCTGCTACTCTCTGACATTTCAAAATCATTCTTATCAATGATGAGTTTTATTTCTCAGCTATCATCAAATACTGCTATTTTGGCAACAAATGAAATGGTGGCAAATAGAGGCAAGAATACTAACTCCACAAATCCAGACAGTATGTGTGTTTATTTTTAGTAGAAGTTTGAATTTGATGGTTCTACTAGGACTTCATGCTTATGCTAGTATTAAATAAGACAATCCTATAAAATAAAAGCAACTTGTTTTATTTACTGTTGTCCACCTATCTAATTTGTGTGCTACTCAAAAGATACACCTAAGCTTTAGATTCATATTCTAAAGTTTAGAATGTGATTCCATTAGAGATTTTCCCTAATTAAAACATTACTTCTCTTTACTTGAAATTTGTTATGCTTTGTTAAGTAAAACTATTTTATCATAATAAAATATTTGAAATGGCTAGCACTTTCTCCATATTAAAAAGATAATTTCTGTTCTTGTGTATTTTTTTTTCTACCAAACAACCCAGTGCCTTTTCCAAGTTAAGTTTGCCATTAAGAAATTAAAAAAATACAAAGTATTCACTTCCTTTTAACTGATACTCCTCTACCCATGTACTACAGAATTTTCAAATGAAAGAATCAATGTTCTTATTAGTAATTGTAAGTGTGACTGAGCAACAGTACATCAGGCTCCATCAGTCACAGAAGAGTATTTCCTTGCTCAACAGAGCCCTTCTAAACCTGACTGACAAGCTACAGACATTAAGAGAAATAGGAGGCTTTAATCCTAGAGTCAAAGTGCTCTGATTTATTGTTTATGCATAAAATAAAGGGATAGTTTTAAAGTTATCTAGATAACTACTTCATTTTAATTCATTTAAAAAAATCAGACACACACCAAGAAAGAACACTGATATCAGAAAATACCATTCCATTTTATGTTGTGTAGAATGTTAATGGAACTGGAAATGAGAAAAATAGTACAATTTGTAAAGTCTGTTCATTGCTGGTTTTCAATAATACAGGTGATGAAAACAATTCAATTTAACTTGAAGTTAGAGAAGCAGTTCTGTCCCAACACTTGTAACCTTATAATACTTAGCAAAATACTTAGAAGGAACAATTCTTATTCTTTTATCATCTCCATTAGTCAAATGCCCAACAGTTGCTGTTTCTGCAATTAAAAGGGCATTCCCTTCCTTTGAAATGTGTAGAAATTCTACACTTGTAGTCCCACCAGCACACTTATAGAAAAATAATCTAGCATAGTGGTCATCTTTACTTCTTTCTTCAGGCATACTTGTTAAAGACTAGGAGTGGGGCAGGCTTTGCAGTTTTATAACATCAGATAAGAGCTATGTATCAATGCACACAAGGTTCGTTACTAATTCAGATTTTACAATTTGAAGAAAGCCTGACTTTTCTGTCAGTGGCCTAATTTTCATTTAGATTTCTGACAGTGAACAGAATTATATATTAAAACTCACCTGGCAGTCCCATTTTTTAGCATTACAGCCCTCTAACTGGCTGCTGTCAATGCCAATAGCGACATCTACTGGTGGGCTCAGAGAAGGAGTTTTAAACCCTCAGTAGTGTAGAAATTGACACAGATTTTTAAATATTTTTTCCTACAGCGAGGAAAAACAATGTTTTTATGACATCAACTGTTGTGCAGAGGAATGTTGATATTAACAATGAGAAACAAGGTATGTAGCTTGTGTTTCAAGAATCTCGGAAATTTTACATTTTACCATGCATATTTTATTAGTCTGAATATATATGTCTCCTTTGGGTATACAGAGGTAGGGCAGAGTGACAAAACCTGAAGGATAAAAAATTTGGTAAGTCATATCCCATAGTCTAAATGAATACTTATTTTGCAAAAGGTAGATAGAAAGTAAGAAATAGGCAGTTCACTGGTTATTTTAGCTTTGGTTTGTTTCTTTTAGTCATGATATTAGAAAATAGCATTATATTAGTTAAAAATAGGGAGAAAGGAGTATTTCAAGAAAACTTATCATACTTTTAATTCTTTTCCTTTTAGGTGCAGTGAAACATTCTGAACACATTCTAAGACCTGCTATTTTGCAGCCACCACAAGCTCAAAGCTGTGAAGAAGAAAGAAAAACATGTGGGCCCAATGCATTGGAATCCTACAAAAGTAAAGAAAAAACAAAGCAAAACAAGAAGGTAAGAAAACCCCTATGGTAGGATTGTTGTGCTGATTGTTTTGGGATTCTCCACATCCAATATTAGGGTTTGTTGATGTCTGTTTTGTTGCTGTATCCACAATAGACAAGCTTGAGAAACATCCAGGGCAGGCAGCAAGAATTCTTAAATTGAAGTGTTATTCCATGAAACAAATTTTGTGGCCTCTAAAGACCCAACTGGGAAAGCTGTGTTTGGGGGCAGTGAGAACCTGTGGGTCTTATTCCAGTGCACTGAACCCATATGAAAATCAGGGAAACAATGAGGTGGGTGGGGACCAGAATCAGTAATCAAGAAAGGAAAGGAGATTTTTCTGCTTCACCCAGCTGTTCAATATCATATTGTGGCTTTGCCAGTTTAGGTCACACTAGGGATCCACTCCAGACCCATTTTCATGGGTAACAGGCTTGAGGAACTCTCCATACAGTATAATTGGGAGGGCCTGGAAAGCCTCTGGAGACAGATAAGAATTCTCTCCCAATTATCAAAGTGTCTGAATCACCCACTGTAAGCTTTGCTAAGGAGATCCTCACTTTGCTCAGGTTATGCTGATATGGGTTGAGGATTACTCTTTTGCTGTAACTCTAACTGTGTCTTCCAGCAGACACAGACAGTTAGCAAGAATAGGTCATAAGGTAGATGAATTTGAGAATTGTTTACCACTACTTTTGAGGATTGGTCATTTGATTCTGCTTTGTATTTTTTTTCCATTCTGAACACAAAGGGCAGCAATACATGGAAGTGAAAAACATATCACTTATTTTGATTCAGCAAAAAAAAAATCAGCAACTACCTAGGTTAATCCAAACAAAGCTCCCACCATTGTCTTTTTATCAGGAAAATGATGAAGTTGAGCTTGGTCAGCATTTACCAAAATTTTTATATTTCCAAATCCTTGTCTTTGTAAGATACAATTTCATGACCCATTATGAATTTTAAAAATAATTTAAAAAATAATTACTATGCATATTGTTATATATAGCAATATATACCATGCATAAGTGGTTTTTTAAGTAAGACATGTTTTTAATTTCAGGTTAATATATAATTATCAGTTTTCATTAAAACATAATATGGTAATCACCATGTTATATTAATTACTACTTTTATGTATTTAGGAATATTGTGATGTATTTTGTTTAATTTGTTGCAAATTATGTAAGAAAAAGTATGACTAGTTAACTAATTTCTAAAATGTTATACTACATTTTATTTTGCAATGGTATGTACTATAAAGTATACGTCAATTTTTTGTTTATGTGTCAAGACATTAAAAGTAGATTAATGTTTCTTTCTTGTCATGACTTTTATAAATCTTGAATATTTTAAAAACAAAATTTATTAATATATTTCTCATGTTTTCTGTCTAAGTGACAAATCATAAAAGACAATTTCTATCTCTGGTTTGCACGTATTTCTTCTTGAGTAATTTATAAGGTCTAATGAATAGATATTATTTCCAATTACTAAAAAGTCCAATTGGATATGCATATCATTGAATTTTCTGTTTTATGACCTTTAAAGATTCATATACATTTTCATTTTATATGCCTATAAAATGCTATGCAAGAAGTTTGACCAAATGAATGTAAGTTAGAGATTTGGTGAAAATTATCTTTAAGGAAACTTTGTAGAATCATTATTTGTGTATTCCTTATTAGCTTATGTATCAAAATCAGAGAAATTGCTATTTATTCTGTTATTAAACAGTGGCCACTTACTATGCATAAGCTACATAATATATACCTAAAACTATTTTAAGCAACATGAGAGTAGAAACTACTATTTTTAATGAGAGATAAATGATCTGACTGACTTGGTTATCAGCATGTACTTTGATCTTGGCTCACCATGGCACCTGCTCTCTTGACACATATTTGTCTGTTTTCAAACACCTGCTATAAAAGGGAAAATACTCAAAATTATACTTGTTGATTGACATAAAAAATTAAGTGGAAACAAATTCCACTTGCCTATAAAGACATGAACCCCTCAGAACATCTTTGCAAATCCCTGGTGGGGGAAGGGAGTTATCTGGAAAACATTATAAATGATAGACTAGATAATTTATGGAGCTCCTTCCAGTTTTAAAGTTCCTAACTCCAATAATTACATAGGAGTACAGGTAAGGTGCACACATATATTCTCTAAAACGGAGTTACTCATTGGCTAAGTTAGGAGCAGAAAATATCAGGATGAAGAGATGAGTGGAGTTTCCTCTTACATTGGGTGGCTGTGATGATGAAGGTCTTAGGATATTTCCAGGAATTAGAGAATAGTCCTGAAACATAGCCTACCTAATCCATAAATAAGAATTAACTCCATTTGGCTAAACAGGTACAAGTAACAAAAGACAACAAGGTTTCTGAATATTACAATGAAGTATGCTGTCTTCAGTGTCAGACAGAATTGTGTTTAAATGTCAGCTCCATAGAGCATGTGACTTAGGCAAGCAATTTAAGTCCTTTATATTAGTTTACACATCTGTGAAGTGTGGATAGCAGAAGTATAAAGTGTATGAAGTTCTTATGAGGAGTAAATGTGATCATGTACAAAAAAGGCTCAGGGAAATACCTTTTTTATTTGATGGTACTGGGGTTTGAACTCAGGGTTTCATGCTTGCTTGGCAGGCACTCTACCACTTTGAGCCATTCTGCCAGTCCTCAGGGCAATACTTGAATGCAGCAAGCTTTCAGCATATTTAACCATACTGTTTCCTTGTCTGACACTCCTATAGTAAGACAATTCTATGAACTTTTTGGTGGATTTCTTTTCTTTCAGATTTCTGGGTGGAACTCCAATTTGTTAAGTGAAAATTTCCCAAGTGCCGGAATTTCAATCCATTTGTCTACTAACCAGCATTTTTTAGGTGCAGCCTCAGTGAGGTAAGTTCATATAGATTGAATATCCCTTACTGGAAATGTTTGGGACTAGAAGTGTTTGATGATATGTATTTTTATTTTAATTTTGGAATAGTTGAACATACATAATGAAAAATCTTGGAGATCGACCTAAGTCTAAACATAAACCTCATTCATGCTTCATATATACCTTAGAATGTAGTCTGAAGGCAGGTCTATAAAATATTTTAATTAATTTTGTTCATTTTAACTGTGGACCATCACATGAAGTCAGGAATTTTCCACTTGTGATATTATGTCAGTGCTCAAAATTTGCAGATTTTGGAGAGTTTTAGAATTCAGATTTTTTGGATTAGGGATGCTCAGCCTGTAATGAGATAACAGAATTATTTTCCTTTCATTCTTGTTTTCTTTAATCATTATAACCACTCATGTAAAATAATATTCTGACCTTGTATAGATAAATTGCCAAGATTCCTAGATGAGAGGACATTTTATGAGAACACAAGTCTAAAATGTTTTTCAAAACATTTGACATTTAAACAGCATATGTTTATTTATTTTGCAGTACTAGGGTTTGAACTCAGAGTCTTATGCTTATAAGGCATGCACTCTACCTCTTGAGCCATGCCACTAGCCCCTTTTTTGGTTTCAGCTTGTTTCACATAGGATCACTCACTTAATTGTTTGGTTATTACATTAGTCTTTTTCCTGTTTCTTTGATATTCTTTTCCTTCTTTTTAATTAGATTCAATAGTATCTATTATTTTTTGGCATAAATTGTATAGACAAAATTGAAGGCAGTATAAATCTGTAAAATGAAAAGTTAATATTCCTTAGCATTACTGATGATGAAGGAATGTTTTTCTTTTTAATTTTTTTCCCTTACCCCCCCTCCCTGAAGGAATGTTTGATGTGAGAGAACATTAATACTAGCTGTCGACAAACATTATCTCACATGAATAAGCTCCAACCGGGTATAGTCGCACTTGCCTACTGTGCACATTGGGGATCAATCGAGAACCCAGAGTACATCTGCCTACAAAGAGAGGGCTGCACGTCTGTTGAGTTTCTCATCATGCAAAACTTTTTTAACATTAAAAATAAAGTTTCTGGGAGGAGAAAAATAATTAAAACAACACCTGCTCAAGCGTAACTGACAAGATAAATGAGTTTTGCTTTTGCCCTGATGATCTCTTGATTGCTAAAAGCAGCATCTGCCACTTGGGGCAGAGAAGAGTGGTGATTAGAGATTGGTGCTGAAAAAGCAAGGCAGCCTTTCTGGCTGATCACACAGCCATGCAGTGATGGGCACAAGATCTTTGTACGGGTCAATGCCAGTGTGTAAGGTCTGGCAAATATTTTGAATATCACCTTTGGTAGTGCATGTCTCAACCTATAATGTCTGATACACCTATAATAACCCTGCACGGAGCTCTGATTTCTAAGGCGGTATAATCTAACAGTGACAGTTGTACAGCAAAGCAAACAACTTTAAACAACTGTATCTTTGGTTTCTTCAGGGTCTTCACATCTTCATGCTTTTTCCAGCTTTCATCCAGACCTGGACCATGGCTGAGATAGGCCCAGGGTGGCTAGCTTGTCTTAGGGGTCTTCATTACCTGAGGAATCTTAAGGATTGCTGAGATTTTAAGATAAAAGTAATTGTATACATGTATAAAATATTCCTATGGGAATATTTTTCCTTCATTTGTTATTAACTTCAGATGAACAAGAGTTAGCAGCAGGTATTTATGCTTTACATAACTATATTGAATCACTTGATTATTTTGCCTACTAAGGTTTAAAATGGCTTTATCCATATATTCAAAATAGCAAATGCTTATTTCTTTTTCTTAGATATCAACCAAATGAAGATAAGTATTCTTTCAAAAGTTGCACTTCTGACTTTGTTTTTGGAGAAAACATGGTAGAAAGAGTTTTGGTAAGATTTTGGTAAATGTTTCTGTTACCATAGAGAGAACTGTCAGTTCAAGTTTCTGAAGGCAAATTAATTAAAAGCAATATTAAATCAGAGCATACTTTTAACTCCTGTGTTCGAAGGCACATTTTTTTCTTTCTTTAAGTGGAAAGATTCTCCTGGGAAGAAGAGTCCTAGTTGTTAGAATAATGGATGGGAAGCCACTGAGGAAGGGAACTACATAATTATAATATTATTCTTGATGTAAAATATTAAATAGTTCTTTGACTTGTGTTAAACTGAAAGTACCTAAGGAAATTACAGAATTATCTTCAGTAGTTAGATGAACTCAATTGCTAATGATATTTTAATAGCATTTTTGTAACAAGATGTATTTAAAATCACTTACCAATTTATTCTTAATAGTTAATCACAACCCTACCCTTCAAGCTCTTACATCAAAAAGTATTATTATAAATTTGGGGGGTAGCTTTTGCCCAAGGGAATGTACTTGCCAAGCAAAAATCCCTACTATCACCGTCATCCTTACTTAACACTGATCAGCTTCCTGCACAAAGCAGCTGCTGCTTGGCCCTCCACAGAGCTTTGATTTCTAAAACAGTGTAATTTATGGTGGGGAATTTACAGCAAAGTAAAAGCTGTGAATCAACTGTGCTTTGGTTTCATCAGGCCCCTCATATCTTTATGCCTTTTTCAGTTTTCTTCCAGACCAGGATCATGGCTGAGATAGGCCCGGGTGTGCTTGTTTTAGGGCTACCCATTACATGAGAAATCCTAAAGACATTGCAGAGATTTTATGATCAAAGTAATTTTATATGCATTTATGAAAAAGTCACAATGAAACTCACTTTTGTATAATTAATAAAAAGCATGCAAAGGCTCAGATTAATGAGTCAGCTCACAAGGCTAGTTTATTCCAAGATTTTAAAAGGTTGTCATAAATCACTAATTTTTCAGATTTCACTTATTCTAGCTGTATCTCAGATACTCCTTAAAGCCAAGGTTAGTATTGTAGCTTTTAGCTTAAAGGCATCCCTCTGTAGCTCATAAGAGGAGGATAAATTTTCCCAGGCATGGTGGTACATGTCTGTAATTCTAGCACTTGGGAGACTTAGATAGGAGGATTTTGACTTTAAGGCTAGCCTAGGCTATGTAGTGAGATCCTGTTTCAAAAAAAAGAAAGTCAACTCTACCAATAGGGTACAATACCATGCAATATATTTAGACACATTTATTGCATATCATTTATTTCTTAAATTTGACACTAGATTAGTCATAGCTTCTGTAAGATGTCAGGTACAATTAAAATGCTTTCCAATCACTGAATCAACCTGAACATTTATCAATTTTCAATTTATCAAACATGTACTGAATTCCTATAGTACACAAAGCACAGGCCTCAAGTTTGGCTGTGTGTTGGAATCATCTGGTGAGCCTAACAATTTCTTATGCCTAGGCCTCACCCCAGACTAGTTAGGTTAGAATCTCTGTGGGTGAGGCAAGGTGTCAAGTTATTCTAACATACAGCCAGGTTGAAACCAACTAAGTGGTTATGCAAAGCTAAAGGAGACACAGTGCCCTGGAAGGGCTTATAATCTGTAAGGGGAGATAGAGATACCTATTAAATGAATTATAGCCCAGACTATAATTTGGTTTGGTTTGAAATAGCATTTGTGCCTTTAGCTGTGGGCATAAAAAGACCTGAACTTTCTATCTCTTTCAGTTAGTACTATCCTAACGAGAACTACAGAGATAATTTATATTTTTCCTCTAATTAATCTCGTAAGCCTGTGGCCTTCTGATTTGAAGGCCAGGGTACATTCCTACTACATTCACAGGCTGACCATGTGATTTTAGAGTGAGTCATTAAATTTTCTGAGCTAAGTTTCTAGTTTCTTAAAGTGAGTATAATTATACCCATCTCTACCAATTTTAAGGGAGTACCTTGATGTCCAAATAATGTGAAAGAATTTTGAGTTCAAAAAAAGAAAAGACATGAACGTGAAGTTTTAAGTATCATCGTGCCAGTCCTCCCTATTCTGCAGAGAGCTATACATGGTTGTAAATGTTAAATCTTTCTTCATAAGGCTTTGATTACATCAGATATATTGAGCCTCAAGTATGCAGCCTTAAAAGTGATAGCTGGCAAAAAAAATTTCCTGGAGAAAATGTTAGAGTTCTTTCTACAAATATGTTCCCTGAGACATCTAGTGGAGTCTCTAGATAACTGTCCCCCACACCATGAATTTCTGGGACTACTGAGCCACCCTGAAATAGAGTTGTGTGTCCTAGTCATTGGGTCAGTCTACTGGGAGCATGGAAAAAGCCCATATCTTCTGTGCCATTAGAGCTTTCCCATTAGTCCTGTGATTAGATGCTCTCTGAAGTACACTGATGGTAACTAGTTTGTGTTTTTTGAGACTTAGAACCAAAGGCTTCGAGCAATAGCAAAGAATTCTCTCTTTGGCCCACGAGGAGCCTGAAGTAAAAACATAGCAGCTGGGTTTGTGTGCTTTGATGAAATAGAACAACAGAAGTATCTTTTGGCTTACTGAAAATGAATAGGTACGAAATTAAATAATGTATGCTTTTTTCCCATCTAGGGCACTCAAAAATTCATACCACCTCAACCTGAAAATAATGCATATGTCAAGGAAAAAACATTCAAATCCATTCTGAAATTTCCTATCAACTCTCCCAATTCAAGTAAGAATTTTATTTGTATAGTATTTAACTACTTTGTCTCCTGTGTATCATGTTACTTGTTTAATATCTATAACATTTTAAGAACTCAAGATCTAGTGTTTTAAAATTTTTGGTAAAGATTAAAACATATAAGTTGATCAGATATTATAGGCTTTAGGCTTTTGACTTAATTCTGGAGGGAGTCAATAAGGAGATTTCCCCCAAACTCAAGCAGTTTAATCTTTTTACTAGGTAAGGACACATATGTTAACAGGGGCAACAAAGAACTTTCACAGCAGAGAAAATGAGGCCTTTTATGTGTTTTCCCCCCATTTCCTTTTAGGAACAGATTCTGTTAAAAATACATCCCTAATTGAATCAGCCGCTGCTTTCTCTTCCCAACCATCACGAAAATACTTGCTGGAGAAAATTGATGTTATAACAGGTGAAGAAGCAGAACATAATGTGTTAAAGGTCTGTATGTCATACATTGCTTTTTCTGGTAGCAATTACATATATGGAATAAGACCATCATCATCAGATGGAAATATAGACAGAACAAAAATATTTGTGACTTCCAAAGCTGAAAGCAATATTTTGTTATCTTCTAACATGTGTATGTATGATTTTCAGGAAAATGGACTGTACCCATTCAGATTAGTCCATTAGAAAGAAGACAGTTAAGGATCCTGGTTTTGTTTTTGTTTTTGTTTTTGAGGCAGGGTCTTCACTATGTAGCCCAGGCTGCCCTCAAACTCTTGATCCTCCTGGCCTCAGCCTCCCAAGTGCTAGAATTACAGGTGTGTACCACTGTGCTGGGCTAGGAGACTACCTTAAAATAACTTCAGATCCTTCTTTCTTTATACTTTGCATGCTTGCTTTTATAAATCAGACTGTTAACACATGATTTATTAATTATATTTACACTGAAGATTTTTAAATGTTCTTAAGATGATTTGATTTTAGTTTAAGATAAAACATTTAGAATTTTGTATAAATCAAGAATTTCATGAATGTACTGTACAGTATCATAGTTGAGAGAAGAGTGTTATCAGGATACTACAACTTTATCATTTTTCAACAAGGCAGGAATTTCCCTTCCCCTTTCTCCTTCTGCTTTTCTCCCAAACTCTTTTCCTCTCCTCCATGATCTAAGTTTACTTTTATTCTAAAAAAGTGTGACTTTTTAAAGCATAATCTTTGGACTAGATTAACTTCAGACCAACTGAAATAATTGCTAAAATATGGCTGTGGTATGCCATATTTTTAGCAGGCTGTGTATGTGATTCTCATGCACAGGAGTATTTGAGAATCACTAGTACTCATTATGTAATGTTTGGGGACCCTGTGGTATCACATTATAGTTCTCCAAGTTCTCATGCTGTCTTTGAAATTTTTTAAGCATGCAAATAGTTCCATGATTCCTTTACTTCCAAATAATTTTAAGTAGCTGAAAGATTATTAAGTTCAATGAAAAATTGGTGTATATAGAGACATATTAACTGGAAAAGCAGCAAATATGAGTGGTAGTCTGCTATTTTTTTAAAAAAGGAGAACATATATGTATATTGGCATATATACCTACAAATATTTCTGTAAGGACAAACAAAACATATAGTATGGTATTCCATTACAGAGGTGGAAACTGGCAATGGGGAACAAGAGATAGGAGCCCTTTTCACTTTGTATATCTTTTTATTTTTTTGAGGTTTGAGCTATTCAAAAATTGCATATTTTTAAGAGTTAAATAATTTTCAAAAGCTGGATTATAAATCATTACAAAGGTTATTATGACTAAAGTTCAGATTTAAAAGTATATATAGCACAGGAAATATTTTAGTTTGAAAAAATTCTATATATATATTTGACATTTAAAAAATTGTCATTTAGATCAACTGCAAGATTTTTATATTCAAGAAAACAACACAATCGTGGATTGAAAGAGGCAGAGGAACTTTGAGACTGAATGACATAGCAAGCAGTGACTGTGGAACACTAGAGTCAAGACTAAGTAAGATCATTTTGTAAAGCAAGCCATGCTTTCTCTAATATAGGTGCACATGCTTCCTGGACATGTGTTACAAAATACATCAATAACTCCAACTATTGAAAACAATGTTATTTTTAATGTAATCTAGGGACTCTCCCTTTCAAGATGGCTCATCTGTCTAACTGCATGCATTCCAGTTCTGTCTCCACCACTGACTAACTGGTGACCTTGAACAAGGGACTTAACCTGTCTCTGTCCTAGTTGCATCAATTTAAAAGAAGGAAATTTCAACTCACGGCTTTTTTAGTGAATATAAGAACTCAATGAAATATTGCCTGCAAAGCATCACATACCTAAATAGCAATTTCATTATTATTGGAAGAATATGAAGCAAACCATTTTGCAAAATGAAAAGTTCTTTGAAAAGAAAATACCTGTCTCATAATTTATCCTTGGCATTCTGAACATGGTGTCAGGGTTGGGGTGAAGAGTCAGTTTCCAAGGAAGCAGGTGTGCAATTATTGAATCCTATAGACAATCAAATGACAGTCAAAAGTTGGAATCAAATTAAAACAGTGTTTGACATTCAAAAGGACACACTGGGCTTTTATCAAGCCAAAAATGAAAGTGAGTGTGGGCAGAGTATAAGGAGCAGGGAATAATTTTACCTTTCAGCTTTGAAATGCCAAAGCTTTGGAGGAGACCACAAGTAGAAGTTGGATCCAGGTATGTCAACATTTGTTGAGTTTCAGATATCAAACTCAAGAAACACATAAGGAATAGAATTCAGGTTAAAAGAAAAGGAACTGTGTTTTCAGTTCTGTAACTGACAAACAAGGTTTCTAAATAACATAAGCAAGTAGTAGTACCAAGGTAGTATTAGTTGTTCTTGGGTTTAATTACACTGACTGAAAAAAAAAATCAAAATCAAAACAAGCAAGTAAAATCCCAGGACAACTTTTCATATTATACATGTAGAATATGTTCAGTGTAGAAATCAGAAAATATGAAAAGAAAAAATGAAATCACTTATTTAGGCCTACCTTCCTGAGATAGCCATTGTTAACAGAATACTATCTTATTGACAGGTATATATAGAACATAAAATTTATGATCAGTGTATTGCAATGCTTTGGAACCTAATATTTTCTTTTACATAGTATACCATGATCATCCATTCACATCACCATATCTTCAATATTCTCAATAGGCTAAATAATATTCTCTTGAATGACTTAATCTACTTAGTGCTATTTTTTGGACACCTAAGGTTTTTGTATCAGTTTTCTCCATTGTAGACAATTCTTGATAAATGTTCTTTAGATCAGTAGGTCTTACAGAAGTTCTAAAATTGTAGACGTTTAAAACTATTATAGAAAAAAATATAATTCTAACATTTAGGCTAAAAGGAAAGTTCTCCAACATAATAAAACCAAAATACAATTTGAAAATTAACTTAATGTGGCTTCATAGTGAAAACACAGTTTGATAACCACAAGATTTACTTTTGTTTTCAAAAATGGTGAGTTTTTTGGAAGGCTAAGGAATCAAGAACTGTGATCTAGTATGTTCGCTTCCTATTGCAGTTATGCGTAATCAAGGCAGTCTGAGGCTGATCCTCAATAGCAAACTCTGGGCTCAAATGAAGATTCAAAGAGCAAACCACAAAAATTTACAAATAACAGCTACTGATTTAGAAGACTATGGCATCAAAGTATTTTTAATTCAGGTAGGTAAAAAGTTTCAGTGATAGAAGATTATCTCACTAACATATTAATAGATCTTTACAATTGTTAATCTTTTTTTTTTCATTTTGTTATAACAATCTGTACCACTGGCAAAGAAATCAACCATTCATTATGGTTGTTTATAGTCTAGTATAAAACTTAAATTTTATATGGACTTCAGCAATCAACACCAAAGGCCACAGTAGTCACTTTTTACCTTTTCCAAGACGTTTGCATGATATATCTTATCTATCCTTTTCTTTACTACTGAAATTACACTAACAGCCTTGCTAAGTAGCCAGAGTGACTATATTGTCAGGAATGGCTCCTAGGAGATCAGCGGAATGTGAAGCCTGCTGCTGATACTGCAAATCAAGATAGAGACGCTTTGAGATCACTGGAAAGCAACCAGAGAGAAATGGAAAAATACAGAGCTAGCAAGTTACAACAGTCAGTCCAACAGCAAATTCCAATCCTGAGCAAGAGTAAATCTCCAAGGTAACAGGATGGGAGCACAATTTAGCTGTTCCTGGCAGCAGGAATGCTTGACCTCAAATACAAGATCTAGACAGACAGGAGAGCTGCCAAGAACAAAATCCCCTCCCCTGCTCCCCAAAGCTGGGTTTCCCCCATGGGCTGAGATCCAGAAAACTAAGAAAAAGAGTATCCAGGTGACTAAGGTAGAAGGTGATACTGCTACTAAATAGGCTTTCATGGAGTAATGGCGAAAAACGTTGGTCTGTGGCCAGCAATAAAAACTGAACTTTTTATTAACTATAAGTAAATGCATTGTCAGGTATGATACTGAGTTAAAATGTTCAGATAAGATGATGTTCAATCCTATTTACTACTTAGGAAGATAATACTTGATACTCTACCAGGTCAGATTCTCCCTCCTTTGAGTGGGTAAGGCAGTGTGCTAGAAACTGAGCCTGAGGACTCTTAACTGTGATTAGACCCTGCTGCTCAATATCTGATTTGTGCTGATGCTTTTTTAAAAATTATGGGTTATGTACTAGAGATAAGCAAACCAAATGTAACCAAACCACTCAAAATCCCGTCCTCAGAGAAGGTCACTATTAATAATTTTGATCCAAATATTAATATTTGGATAGGTTGAGCATCCCTGATTTGAAAGTTTGAAATCCTAAATGCTCCAAACTCCAAAGGTTTTTGAGCCAATGTGTCTTCATAAGTGCAAAATTCCACACCTGACATAGTGTGATAGGTTACAGTCAAAACACTGGTGCACTAAAAATTTTGTATAAAAGTACTTCAGGCAATACATGTAAGGAATATATGACATAAATGAATTTCACTTTTAGATGCACGTTCCATCCCCAAAAGTTTTCTCATAAATATATATGCAAATATTCCAAAATCAGACAAAACCTAAAGATATATTCATACATATGTGCCAGACTTTATATATACACTCTACGACCTTCAGGAAAGTTACTTAATTTTCCTTTAACCGATTTACTCGTGTAAAATGAAGGCAACACTAAACACTTGATAAAGCTACTGAGATTTATCAAGTAGCTAAATGATTGTGAAAAACACCTATAAATTTTCAATTTTCTTCTCTCTTTTTTTCTTTTTGGTACTGGAGTTTGAACTCAGGGCTTCATACTTGCTAGGCAGTCACTCTCACTTGAAACATGCCTCCAGCCCTTTTTTGCTTTAGTAATTCTTCAGATAGGGTCTTGTGCATTTTGCTTGGGGCCAGTCATGGACCACGATCCCTCTCACCTATACCTCCCATGTACCCATGATTATATGTGTGTAACACCATGCCTGGCTTATTTGTTGAGAGGGGTCTCCTAAGTTTTTGCCTGGACAATCTCTGCCTCTCAAGTAGCTGTAATTACAGGTACAAGCCACCATGTATGACTTCATTTTAACTTTCAGAGCCATAATTTCCTTATTTATGGAGAAGGAAATGTATATTGTGTATCTGTGCTACCTGTGTTTGCTAACATAAATTGAATAAATAATGAAACAATGGTATTTGAGAGGATTGAAAGAGAAAGGTTAATTATACCAATTTTGGTTATTGCTACCATCATTTTTATATTAATAGCAGTCATAAAAATAACATAGGAAAGCATGGAAAGGCAGGAGCTTCCAGTGTGTTTATAGTAAATATCATAGATTGCTCCATTTCTCCACAGAACTATGTGGCATGGAGGGATGTCTAAACAAAATGATAGAAAGGAAATTCAAGTCTTTTTTCCTTCAACTGTAAAATTTTACATAGTGTAGTGTAAAACAGTGAAGGAAAAATGGTCTTAATATATGCAAATTTAGATAGAAACGTTAAATTACAAAATTTTATTTTTCAACTTAAAATGTACAAATTGGGACCTCATGAAATTATTCATTTTAGGATGCAAGTTGTTTCAAAATTGTCTTTTTACACCTTAATTTGTAGGGCTGTTAGCACTTACTTATATCCTAGAATTACGTCATACAATTCCTTTCTTATTGATAGTGAAAGACTTAAAGTCCATTGAATATGGCTAACATTAATAAGCAGCTTTAACTCTTAACAAGTTAATTTTCTTTATGAAGGCCAGTGCCAAAGACACAGGATATCTGTATGCAGCAATACATCATCGACTTGTTGCCCTTCGAAGCTTCAATAAGCAGAAAGATGTCAATCAAGCTGAAAGGCAGTCAGAAACAGCCCTCCAACAACTAAACTGTGAAAGCTGTGATGATGAGGAGGAGGATGACTTCGTCTGTGTCACTAAAAATGAATCAGGTAAATGATTTTTGTTTTGTTAGGTCTAGAAGTTTAAAAAAGAAATCTTAAGCAAATCCCAATATATTAAAATAGATTTTCGTAAAGTGAAGCAGATCTGTTTACAGTGTATGGTGGTTGAAGCCGTGGATGTTTGCATCTGAGGATTGGGTTAGAAAATCATTGTCTTCTATTCTATGAGTGGCCTCCATTAGGATTTTATCAAGTGAACCTCATTGTTATGCCTGCTTGTCATTTGTCTATAAATCGCATAAAAACCCTTATTTAAAATTTCAAGTATTACATTGGTACTCTGAAACTAACCATTTGTTCATATTTCTCTTTACTTGTTCCTGTTCTATTATTGCTTATAATAGGAGGATTTATAAATACATGTAATGGGACCTCCAGGTAAATCTGGTTTGAAATACTGAACATCCTGTTTATTGTCCTTTTGGAATTTGACTGCTTATAGAGATAACTAGATTGCTCAAATTCTATCTTCAAGGTCCTTTGCCTAGGGCAAAAGTTACTATTTCTCTTATTGTGTCAGGATTTACAAAGAAACTAAGATGAAACAGAACTTAAGATTTTTAGGTTTCAGAGCTGGTCCTGCTGAGTTTAAAAGTAATGTTCATCATTATTTCTGGATAATACTGTCAAAGAGCTGGAAAGCTCAACTTCATTATACAGAAGGGACTATTCTAATAAAGTCACCCAAGCATTTTCACTAACAGTATCACTTAGCCCTGAATTCTGTTCTATAGGGGACTGAGTAATATTAAAAACTAGTACAGTGCATTTTTCAACCTCTAATCATTTTATAATCTTAAGATTACTTTAATGCATAATTTAAGAATTTATCAAAGAACATGTGTAGAATTGGATGAAAGATCTTTCTTTGCTTAATACTAAAAATACAATTAAAAGGAAAAACAGCATAAATTTAGATTAGGATTATAGCTTGCTTGATACAGTGAGCCAGAAAGCTAAGGTAATATGATTTTTTTTTGCTACTTTAAATAAATCTATTGAATAAATGGTTTATTCTCTGAAACATATGAAATGAATAAATAAAATTATCTTTTATATTATGTTTCTACAGTCAACAATAAAGTGGAGTCTACTTGAAAAGGAGTTGGTACCCACTAAAAATGTCAATTTGAGATAGGGATTAAATGGCAAAATTCTCTCATCAACCAATGAGATATTTCCTAAAATATCCTATTTTAGGAAAGAGGAAATGTAAAACGATGGAAATGATGTAAAGCAAATGTCAATCATATGAACCTTTCCTCTGCTCTTTCATCCCCTTTTTACCCTTTCACTTAGTATCTTCTTCAGGAGGTACTGCAAACAAGTACCAAAATGTTAAGGAACCTACAAAAAGTCTAATTGTTGGGTTTTGTTGTCCATGAATTAAGTTTTAATTATATGAAAATGTCATGTTTAACACTATTAGCAGCATTTCCACGTTACTTACACAAATGTAGATTCTGTATCTTTCATTTCCTAACCTATAAATTATTTGCATCCAGTTGTATTTGATATTAAATCCAGTCTAAATAATATTGTGTAAAATTATACCACAGATCCTTCTAGGTGGACCCATAGACAGTCAGTTGCCTGTTCATGAGCACTACCTGCTATAATGAAAAGACTGACCATCCTTTACTGAAGAGACTGAGCTGTCCCACCTAAAGGAGAAGATTCTATTCATTCTTGAAGAGATATTGTAGGAAAGTTTAATAAATATAACTTCTTACAATTAAATTTTTTCTCTTATGTTTTACGTTTTATATTCTCATTATTGTGGAGAAAAGGACAGAGTTTAAGAAATGGACTTCAGAAGTACAAAATTTATCATTTTTGAAGAAATTAGTTTAGAATAGGACTTGATAACTAATTTGGACTATTCATCATATTGATGGATATAATACTTAAAATTATAAATTTATGGATTTGATACATAACCAACTAAAATATTTTTTCATACACTGGCCATAAAACAAAAAAAACCGTATTACTAAAGTCTTAAGTCATTTGTCCAAATGTTACTATAATTCCATGATAACGTTTCATCAAATCATGTTTATTTTCTGAGAAATGTTTATTTTCACTTAGTCTTCAGATATCATAATACTATAAGTTTATATATTCTATTATGAATGCTTTTACAAAAGTGTCTGTTCTTGGACTTGTATCCATTGCATCTGTGTATGCTTCACTGATGGTCAGCACACAATAATTGTTGAATGAATGAACAAAATGTAATACATTATCTATGTATCAAAAAAGGAAGTCTATAAGAGCCAAATATGTTAACTTGTTGTTTGCTTTATTTATGCAATTAAATAATCATTAATATTCTAGTAATGGTGGCTACATAGAGACCTTTTAAGAATAAATACACTGTATATAATCAAATGAGTCTTTTAATAAAATTCCATTACTATGGTAGACTATAGTAATTTCAATAATTGTGCAACAGAATTTTGATGCCCTTCTTCTGAGATTTGTTTTAGAGATACTTTAGGATTCATGCAAGAAAATTAGTTTCAGTACTTACAGCCATATTTCATTTCAATTGAGTTTGATCACCCTGTGGCTTCCAAATAGCTTTTGTAGGACCCTTAAACAATTCCTTTATTAGGGGATACAGATTCACAGATCCAAAGTGATTTTTGAAAATGTTTTGAACAACAGTAACATATTTGGAATAAGGGTGTCACTTCCCAAAGTGCTCCTTTGAATAAAATATTTATTTGGAAGTATAAATGTATAAAATTCATGTTACTTTTAATAGTAATAAAAACAATTACATATGTATGTGTGTATGTATGTATTTATTAAGTCAAACTTCAGCTAATACCTGAAAGTTTAGCTTAGCATGTGAAAGTTGGGGCAGGGGTGCAATTTGGATGGTTTCCATGATACAAGACAGAACTTGCAGGCAGTAGATGCAGTTCCACCCAGAGCTGAAGACAGCAGTGAAAATATACTTGTCAGTTGCCAGTGATAACCTAAGTGGACAAGACATCCTGGCCTGGATCAAGGAGTCTCTGCAGTTGAAGCTGATGAAGATTGAACAGTTGTGCTCAGGGGCTGCCTATTGTCAGTTTATGGACATGCAATTCCCTGGCTCCACTGCCTTGAAGAAAGTGAAATTCTGAGTTAAGGTAGAAAGGAATATATCCAGAACTTCAAAATACCACAAGCAGGTTTTAAGAGGCTGGGTGATTAACAAAATAATTCCTGTGCATAAATTAGTAAAAGGAAAGTTCAGGAGAATTTTGAACTTGTTCAGTGGATCAAGATATTTTTTGATGCAAACTATGATGAAAGTTGTTTTAATTGTTTTAGACTATGATCCAACCAACACGACCATTATTCACAATTTTTCTCTTTCCATATAACTAAGTGTAATTTAGTATAAATTAGCTACTCAGAGAGGTCTATTCATTCTTCCATTGACTACAGAAAATATATAGTGCATAAAATATTTTACTTATAAATTAAGCAGTGATTCAGAATGAAGAAAAGTTAATGTGAAATAGGAAGAGAGAAAAAGGCAGTAGAAGGGGTAGGGGAGGCTTTAGCATATGGGAAAGTATAAAAAGAATTTCATCCTGATTTAAAAATTTTCTCTCCCATCTCCATCCAAAAGAGTAACTCATATGTAGAATACATTCAGTGAAAAGTTCTCATTGCAAGCGTTATATAAACATGGAGGCATTTGAAGAAGATATTAAAGTATTGGTTCTGCTATAAAATCTCAACTATGTGGGATCATTGTGATTGTACTGTAATTGTCAAAGTGAAGCAGAAAACAGAGATCTTTCTCTTCCTAATGTGTTCATTCTTGTCCCAGCTCTATGGAGGAGATGAAGCACTACCTTATCAATGCCTCAAACAATTTACTTTGAGTTAAATTACTTCTATGGTTTTCTTTGGTCTTCTCTGCATATAACCAAGGATATAATAGACTATCCTATTTTATCAAAAGATAAAATAGACTAATTTGTTATCGATGTAGAAATGCCAGTGCAACAGAATAAAAAACAGGTTTAGAGCATCAGGAAGGCAGAGAAAGTGTGAAAATTTCTGGATTATGCAATAGATACAAAAAGCAGAAACAAAGTATTTAGGTTTCAATCCATTTTCATAACAGAAATCAAAACATTTTATAGTTTTTGTTTTATATCTTCATCTAGCCTTCTTGTTGACTTTCCTATGTTCTTCTTCCCTCTTCATGTGAAGAGATCAATTGTACTATTAACTTTTGTAAGTTATTTATTTAGATATGTGCTTTCAAGGCCTACATTTTGGATTTCAATAAAAGCTGTTTTTATTAAAATTTATCTAATGATTTTCCAAATAGATTAGATACACATCTAATATATCTAATTATCATATTAGGTAATCTAAACTTTCTTCTCTTTCAATTAGATTTTACTCTAATTGTTTAATGATGGACCATTAAAATGTTTCCTTTTAAAAACTGTATTACATCCATTACTACCAAAGCAAGGATCCCTTTGTTCCCATGTAAAACATCCTACACAATTCTTAAAATATGTGAATGTCATAAAAAGGTGGGAGTATCTTTCACAGAGTCACATGTACACGATAGGAGCAGAGGAGTTCCTAGGGATTGGGAAGTATTTATCTTAAGATTTCTGTAAATCTTTGAATTGTGAGTATCACAGTGTTATATAACATTCCCCATAAAATTTAGAGAACAGTTGTTTGCCTGAGATGTAGCCATCATGTGGGGGCTAGGCTCATTCATTAAAAACACGCACACTAGCCTCACTATAGATGGGGTTAAACTTTTAAATTCAACAGCATTGCAGATTTGGTTTTAGTTGTTTTGAGACTATGTGAAACTGATATTAAACCCATGGGTGCCAGGAGTTTTGTTTATTTTTTTTGCAATGTTCAGATCATACACACAGTGTTGGTTAATTTTTGACCTCAGACTTAAAGCCAACAAACTGGAATACACAGATATATTTGAAATTTCTACAATGATATTTCTAAATTGTGGCATTGGGGAAATTATTGAAATGACACAAATGTTTAGCCTAATAAAGAGTTTGTGATATTACAGTTTTTTTCTTAATAATTAGAGAATTACTAAGATTTCTTTTCTTTCTTTATTCCTTTTTTTTTTTTTTTGTGGCACTGGGGTTTGAACTCAGGGCTTAACTCTCGATAAGCACGCACTTTATCACTTAAGCCATGCCTCCAGTCCCTGAGATTTCTTAATTTCTACCACTCTGGTGATAGAAAATGATTCCACTATGACTTTAATTTACATTTTCCTGATGAATAAAGTTGAGCATATTTTTAGGTATTTACTGTTTTTGTTTTAGGAAATTGTCTGTGATCTTTGCGATGAAAATTGTTTCACTTTCTCCTTTCTTCCTAGCACATACAGGATAAAAGCATGAATAAAACACTTTCCATAATCTTTCCTCTGTCTCTGTAGCCTTTACCTCCCAGTGCTGTTTACGTGTCTTTGAACTCTCCAGGATTTCAGAATTGCTGTTGCATTGCCTTTACTCTTCTGCAGAATTCTTCTCTTGCCCTTGGTGATACTAATACTTTACTAAGTTAAGTCTTTGCTCAGGACATTTCTAGAAAGCCTTCTCTAACTCATCTGAGCCTGAATTAAGACCTGCTCCTCCAAATTCCTATAAGCACCCAGTATAACTCGATTATTGCACAGGCTTTAGGCTCCCCAGGGGTTAAAGGGCTATTCTTTCATGTCTAGCATCTGGCAGGGTTTCTGATCCAAGTGGAATTTGGTCTTTACTGATACATGTGCAAAGGATTTGAAGTTGAGGAGAAAGAAAAGTGCTAAAGATGTTGGTAGCAGCTTAAGTTATGAGAGCGGAGAGGGGCTAATATTTGCCAGTCTTTACTTTGCAATGGACAGAGCTAGGCATTTGTGCATTTACTTACAACTTTTCTATGAGGAAGTTATGTTTTATAAATGAAGAAGTAAGCTCAGAAAGGTTAAATAAACAGTTCAAGGTTCACAAAGCTAACAAATGTTAAAACTGGGATTTCAATCAAGGTCTTTCTAATTTCAAGGCCCAAGCACTTTTCATTACGCAACACTGGATGAACTCACCTAGGAGAGGGACTGAAGTGGGGGTGGACAGCAGGTTGAAGAGACAAGAAAGGAGATACATTTAGGAAGAGGGACAGAGAGATGGAACACCATTAGGAACTGGTGTGCTGGGAGACATATTAATGATGTCAGGAAAAACCAATAGCCATTTCAAATGATGCAGAAAGATCAAGAAATTTAAGGGCTGGTCTGGTGCCGATGGCTCACATCTATAATCCTAGCTACTCAGGAGGCAAGATCAGGAAGATCGCATTCAAAGCATGCCCAGTCAAATAGTTTATGAGACCCTATCTTGAAAAAAAACATAAAAAAGAGGGTGGAGGGCTGGTGGAGTGGCTCAAGCTGTAGGTCCTGAGTTCAAGCCCCAGTTCTGAAAAAAACAAAAACAACAAAAAAACCCACCACCACCACCACCACCATAAAAAAAAGAAACGTAAGGACCAAAAAATGTCTTCTGCGGGTCTAAGATCATTTGGTAACTACGGAAACTGCAGTAATTAGTGAAGTGGTGGGAGAAGGTAGATTACACAAGTTGAGGGATGAATAGGAGGCAGGGCTGTGGCAAGAACTGATGGACAGATTACTTGCTAAGAATCTTAACTATATAGGGAAGATAGGTATCATGTACAAAACTAGGGCTTACAAGTTCTCTTAATTTTTTTTAAATTTCTTTTAGTATCCCCCTCACCTTAACCGATCTTTAAAATTTTTTTTCCCTCTCTTTCATTTTATCATTTTTACATTTACATGTGTATACATTGTTTGGGCCACCTCCCCTCCTCCCCTCTCCAGGCAGAACCTGTTCCGTCCTCTTGTTCTCTGATTTTGTTGAAGAGAAAACATGGAAGATATTAAGAGAGACATAGCATTTTTGCTTCTTGGGATAAAGATAACTATACAGACAGATTCCTAGCATTGCATCCATGCACTTGTGTATTACAACCCACATTGGTTCATCTCTACCAGATCTCTTTGCTACTTCCTGGTCCCCTTCCCATAGTGGACTCTGCCAGGTTAAGATTACTATATTTGCTCCTCTACAGTGAGCACATCAGCCACATTCAAGTTTTAGCTTTCCCTATTCCTCCCATGCATGTTCTCCAGTTCCATCAATTTAGTTGGGAATGACAAAATTTCATTTTCTTTGTGGCTGAGTAAAATTCCATTGTGTATAAATACCACATTTTCTTCATCCATTCGTTGGTAATGGGTCATCTTGGCTGTTTCCATAGCTTGGCTATTGTAACTAGTGCTGCAATAAACATGGGTGTGCAGGTGCTTTTGTAATAACCTCAGCTGCATTCCTTTGAGTATATCCCTAAGAGTGGTATTGCTGGGTCATATGGCAGATCTATGTTTAGTGTTTTAAGAAGCCTCCTTAAAATTTTTAATGTCAGACATGAGCATGTTTAGACTGAAGAAAATCCAGTGGGGAAAATTCTAGATACATAAGAAAGAATAACTTAATGAAGTAATATTTTTAAGAAGGTAGAAGAAGGGATCCAAAACAAGAACAGATAAAAGGATACCCCAACTGAGAATGTGTCAATGTTTTATATAATGTTTGTAGCTGGAAATCTGTGAAGTGGAAAAAGAGGTATGAAATTTCACATATGCACAACAAAACTCACAGGCTTTGATGCTGAATAAAAAAAGTCTATTGATATCACTATCAAATGGATCAACACTCTCCTGGCTTCAAATGTGTCATATGTGACTGCTCCCTTTTTTCCCTTAATACTTAATGAATGATGATTAGAATAATAAAAACAGGAAGAACCCTGATGTGTCCAAATTACAGGTAAGTCATCTCCCTCAGAAGTTACTTAAGGTCATTACAAGTCCTGACAGAAGGGGTCTGTAACAAAACTTTAAACAACTATCAGACTAAATTGTGAATGTCCTCAGTTTAATACAAACAGCTTACAGTAGGCACTCAAAAATACAATGGGGTTGGTTTAAGAATGCTGGTGCTGGTGGCTAGCTCAGAATCACCCCATGCACTCAATCAATTTGAGCTTGGTAGAATTTGTTATCACTCTGGTTCAACCTCATTTTACTGAGGCTCAGAAAGATGAAGTAACCTGCCAGAAATCCAAAAGCTACCTACTGGTCATGCCAGGACTACAAAGGCGCTGAAAAGGGGATCTGAGGAGCTGGAGGAACTGAACACTAGGATGTGGATTACCATTTGACTCTTCCCTTGGAACAAGCGCTTTTCCTTCTATTTGTACCCCAGTCCTTACCTCTATAATTATTACAAAAGTCCCTGACAGTTCTTGTCCTGCCTCCCCAACGACCCAGATCAATAGTCATCAAACACCGCTTTCAACTCACTCCTTTCCCGGACTGCTACAGAATAAAGTCCAAAACACTGACATTTTTAACCCTTCACTTACTTGTCCTATCTAGTTTTCCAAACTTATCTAGACACGCTCTTTTGGTCCAGCTTCCTCTACCCACTATCCTCCAAGTTCCTCGGAGGCCTGCGACTGTCTCCCTGCAGGTCGATGGTGGGCAAGGCGGACAAGGTGGGCAGAGGGCCCCACACTAGCTAGGACTCTGCGCCAGGCCTGCTATCCGTAATAGAAAAGGCTTGGCATCTTCTTTTTGCACCAGGTCCTGGGTCAGCCTCGTCGGCCCTACCCCAGCAGGCACTGGTTAACATGCACATACAAAAAAAGCATACGGTCCACTTTTCCAGGAAATAATGAAAGCAGCCCAGTGAGGAAGCCGTGGACACTTATTTTCCCGCCAGGCGCTCAAAACCCTGCCCACCGTCCCTGCGCTGCCTCAGACCGGTTCCAGCTGGATTTCCCAAGACAGCTCGAATGCCAAATGGCAGTCCAGCCCTTCCCCCAGTTACAGGCAATCCCCGCAGCTCCACGGGATCCGAAACCGCAACGGGTTATGATTGGTTGATGGAGTCAGCCTGGGGGCGGGCAAAGAGCGACCGTAGAGTAAAGGGTGGAGCGGGAGACGCGGCCCGGGCCAAGCGGGTACTGCGCAGGCGTCAATGGAAACGGATAAACAAACAAACAAAACCCACCATCCCCAGGCCTCCCCCTCTTCCCCGCCCACCTGTCCCCAGCGTGGGGCTCCCTGCCTCCCAATCGCCCCGCTTTCCCCGGCCGCGTCAACGTCTCGGCACGTCCCGCTCGCGGCGCGGGCCACGCACGTCCCTGCACTTAACCTCTGCCCGCCCGGTGCGAAGTTAAAGGCCCGGGCGGCGCGCACTCCTAGCGGCGGGGAGCCGAGGCGGGAGCCCGAGTCTGCAGCTGCAGCCCAGCCAAGCATGACTTGCTACCGGGGCTTCCTCCTGGGCAGCTGTCGTCGCGTGGCGGGCGGCCGGGCGGCGCTGCGGGGGCCGGGCGCGGGAGGCCCCGCCGCGCAGCCCCGGCTCGGCGGTGACGGCGGCCGGCGACACCTGGGGCACGGGCAGGCGCGCGAGCTGGCGGGCTGCGGCAGCCGCCCCGACGGCGGCTTCCGCCCCTCGCGCGTGGTGGTGGTGGCCAAAACCACCCGGTACGAGTTCGAGCAGCAGCGGTACCGCTACGCGGAGCTCTCCGAGGAGGACCTGAAGCAGCTGGTGGGTCCCGATTGGGGCGCCGTGGTGTCTCGGGCCGGCCCCTGTTTGCTGCTTGACCCGGCTGGTGCATTTTTTTTTTTTTTGCGGGGGCGGGGGGGCGGCGGGTGTCTGCGCTCTTCGGGGAAGACCTCGGACACGACTCTTCTTCCTGGGACGCCTCTGTTGCCCCCTGCCTCCTCGCTGATCCCCCTCCCTCTGGATGCGCCTGCGGACCACCTTGGGGGGGGGGTTGGCGTGGGGAGAGTGGCGGTGCCAGCGTGGAGACCTCCGGGCAGGGGCGCCCCGAGTCTGACTTCCGTGCAGGCGAGGGGAGGAGAGGCTGCCCAGCGGCCCCACAGTGAGAGGTGCCTGGGGCGTCACTTGTGCCGCGCCACCCTCGCCCCTTTGTTGGGAATGGCAGCTCCAGCCTGAAGGAAGGTGAATAGGTGGCCTGAGGTCTGGATGCCCTAGGAACACCTCCGCTCCAGTCACCCCGAGAAAGGGGACCCGGGGGCCTTTGCAGGCTGCGGAAAAGAGGGTGAAGGTGCCTCAGACACACCCCCTTTTAACTCTGCACGACCGCCAGGCCTGGGCCACTCCGGAAAGCCCTTCTGGGGAGCTCTCTCTCGGTGCTGGAATGTGGTCACCAGACAAGGGTGTAGCAGTTTGTTTTAAAAGCACACGTGCTTTTGGTGCGGGGAAGACCAAGGGAGGAATTTGACTTGAATGTATGTTACGTAGAACGGTCACATAAGGGGCAAGTAACCTTGGCTGATGAATGAAATTAAGAACCTGCGGCTCTATAGTGTAGCAGTGCGTTCATAATACATTGTATTTGGTGTATTTAGTAATATCTTTGAAAATATGTAAGTCTAACGGGGGGAGGCGAGTGGGAATCCTGAGTTTGATTGTGGCCTTCTTCCTTTATTAGAATTTTCATTTTGTGGCCATACCCACCAATGTTAGGAAATGGGATGGATGACATCTGCCCCCAGAAACCATATATCTAGAAAAATCTTTGGAAATCTTTTTAACTTTTGGTGATATGCACCAAAACGGTTGCAATTAATCACATGTAACCGTTACATTTTAATTCTGCACAAGAGTAGCCTGCCTGTTCTAAACACCTGGTATCATTTGTGATCTTCAGCACAGTCATTTTGTGGAGACATCAGTGATATTATAAAACGGCTTAGGTACAGCATCTTGTCAGCATTCGATGTCTTGATTCTTTGATGGGTTGATTGAAGATGGCCCCGCGTTCACCTGGTGGAAATCTAGGTGCAAATTTGTTTTCTCTTTTTCCTAAGTGTTTGAAGGTAGCAGTTTATAGAAAACACTTGGTGCAGTTAGAGACAATCAGGTTTGAACAGGAGTCTAATGTAGTTGAATTGTGTCACAGTGAAATCGGGAGTGAGGTAGGGAATGGTCAGGTCAGGTGAAAGTACTTGTTTCTATTTTGGGAAAGGCGAGTGCTTTGAGTTGTATGCTATTTTTACATGGTCCATCTTTTAGAAATTGTCAAACGTCATTTTAAAAAAATATGTTGTTCCTACAATTTTATTGAACCCTCTCACAATAATTTCAAATAGTACACTCAAACGAAAAAGCAGAAAGGAAACAATACACTCAATTGGCCCGTTGAGGATGTGGGATCAGAGGTCAGGAGCTCTTGTTGTTCTGTGTGGTCAACTTCCTGTGTGTTTTTAACTTCTGGGGGCCTCCTGAGTGAAAAGGATACTTTTTGTGTAGTAGTGCCAGCTTTCAAAGTATTTTCACCTACTTCAGTATGGGAACAGTTAGGGTTGGATTAGATAGCCTCCAAGGTCCTTTCTGGTTCTGGCATTTTGAAATTTTTTCAAGGCCTCAGGAAAATGAATGCCATCTGAATTGGGATTAACTCTTAGACCTCTGAACTAGATTGCTACTAATAAAACCTTTTAAAATGTAGGAGAAATCTAAGTCTTTAAAAATCAAACTACCAAAAGTACTGTCTCTTGAGTGGAGAAATCTCTAAGAAGTAAATATTTGTCTGTCGCTAGGTAATGCTGTTAGAATACAAAAACCTTGGAATATAACTACTGGGCTGTAAAATGCAGTTTTGTAATCACCAGCAGTGGAATGGGTTTTGTTGGTGGTGCTGGTACTACAATTTTACTGAATTAGGTCCTTACTGATAGTTTTGTGTGCTTGGTACTGGATTTTGAACTCAGGACCTCATGCTGGATAGGCAAGCGCTATAGAATTTGAGAGCATCCACAGTCCTTTTATGCTTTAGATTTTCAAATAGGGTCTCAGGGCTACCTTGGTCCACAATATTTTTACCTATGCCTCCCGCATAGCAGCAATTACAGGAATGTATTACCAGGCCTGGCTTGTTCATGGGGCCTTATTAGCTTTTTGCCCAGGCTGGCCTTGAGCCCTGATCCTCCTGAACTCAGCTTCCACTGAGTAGCTGGGATTACAGATGTGAACGACCATGTCTGCCCCTGAATTTGTTTTACAGTTCTGGTAAGCCTAGGATTTGCAATTCAGGAGCAATTAGATATAGTTTGGATCAGAGATCAGGCACAGGCCAAAGAATACCAGCTGTGTAAAGTTGGTCTAACATGAAGTTGTGAATAGGTAGTAGTGGTAAGAACATTAATGTTGTATTGTTGGGGTAAAAAGTACTAAAGTGTATGAGTCATGTAAGTTGATGTAAAGAAAGCAGCTGTGTTCTTATTTGAGTCTTCAGGCACCAGGGCTCTGTCTATAGTGTCATGGTAACTTGGTTTTGTGTCAAAGCATTCCCTTTTGTTGTGGTGGTGGTGGTTTTTTTTTTTTTAAATGCAAAATAGGTCTCTTTTAGGGTACTTGTTGAAAATTCAAATAACAGATGAGTGCCAGTATAATTTTATATTCTGAAGCCTCATGGTTTTCTAACTCTGTAGAAGTATAAACAACTAGAGGAAATACATTTTTAGTGGATAAAGCATGTACAGAATGGAATGACATCCTTCAATGTGAGTCAAGGTTTGACTTTCCATTACTCTTTCAAATGGTTACATTGCCTTACTTCCACGTCTTGCCTTTTTCTCCATTGATTGATCAATGACTTGTCCTGTGAATAGTGGATTTTTAGTCAAGGATTTTACCTCTAACTCTCATGACCTTGCAAAGGCTAATAAAACTGTTATTACAAGTTACTTGTGTCATAAGAGTTGTGTTGGCAAAGGTGGAACTTTTATTAGTCAGGATCCAAAAGTCATAAATTAGACCTTTAGATGAAAGAAAATGATTTTGATACCAGAAATATACTTTTCCTTAAGTCTTTTTAATATGTATCAGATAAGAAACAAGCAAATTTCTCCCCTCCTGTCCTCAGTTGCAAGTCTTACAACCTCAGAGGCAACCCTCTTTAATGGTTCCTTTTTTTAGTCTTAGGGTTTTAAAAAAGTTCACAGTGGGATAAACTAATTCTTAGTCATTGTCTCCTTAGGTGATTCAGAAAGTGTAGTACCTTGGATTCTGTTTCCCTTTGTTTCCTGAAGAAGATGGTATGGCTTAGGTTGTAGTAGCTATGAACAGGTAACACATTTGCTTCATGGTATGCAATATGAGTATTTGTCAAATTAAAAGATCATGAGCTGGTGTACTGCCAGGGCCTTCTAACTGAACCTTATTCCTCTCAGATCTTCCAGATGCAGGCATGGGAGTGATCTATCTAAAAGTGAACATCTGGCCACTTGCTGCCTCTGCTTAGAACTACCCAGAAGTCCCAATAACCTTTCATTGGCTAGGAAACTCTGTAAGTGTCCATACCTGAAACTTAGCCCCCAAGATTCTGATCTGGTTTGCAGACAATTCCCAGGCATTGCTTCTCTGAATCACACCTCTAACATTTCTAACTCTTTGTCTGAATTCCAGGAATCTTCATTTTTACCAGCACCCCAGGTTTGCAAGTGACTCCCAGATCACACTTTGAGAAATACTCTTGTAGCTTTCAACAACCATCCTCTCATGGAGACAGTTGTTCTGTCTCTCTCTTGAGCTTCATTTCTTATCACTTCTTATCTTGAATGTCACATTCTGGCAATTTCAAAGTGGTGGTGTTGTTTTTTTCCCATTAGATGTTATGCTGATTTAATTCGGTTAATATTAGTAGCACATTAAAATGGTTCAAAATATAAAAGGTACAGAATGTGTTATATAATACAAAAGTCTTGTCACCTGTCTTGGTTCCTGCAAATAACTAGTGTTATCAATTTCTTGTGTCTCCTTTCAGAAATAATCTATGTACAAATCAACATGGTGAAATATTTTTCACTACCTTCTCCCTTTTTATTCAGTGATAACATACTATTCTGTACCCTGCTTTAAAAAAAAAAACTTACTAGTATTTGTGAAGACTGTCACGAAGAGCATTCTCATTCTATTTTTAATAGTACATATATTTATTCCATTAGTGCATGTGTCTTTATTTTACACTTAGGTTGGTTTAATCTTCTGCTAATAGATACGTCTCCACTAATAACACTTGTATTCACATGTGTGTGACTCAAGCTGTAAGACAATGTAAAAGTGGAATTATAAGGCAAAGGCACATCCATGGGAGATTTTAACAGGTGTTGCCCTTAGAGATTGTACCAGTGTTTATTTTTACCAGCAATGTATAAGAATACCTGGGTTTTCATAGATTCTCAAACTTTTGAGTGTTCGCCAATTTGATAATTGAAAAACAATAGTACTACAGTGTGATTTTAATTCACATATCATTGTCTTTCTCTTTGAATGCTTTTTTCCACCTTTAGCCAATTCCTCTTCCTCCTTTTAGGTCAAGATCAGACATTAGTTTCTTTGTAGCTCTTGATAACCATGGTGTGCCCCTGCCATTCTCTGCTGCCAAGGTTGTGTTAGGTGTTATTCTTTATTATATTTTCATAATACATACCTGAGATTATTTCTTCTGTAGACTGTAAACTATTTGGGGGGCAAAAACTCTATCTTATCATTCTCCCCCACTGTACCAGCCCTACTGA